CGCAATGGGGGCCCACGGGGAGACAGAGGGGCCGGGACGCAATGGGGGCGCACGGGGGAGACCCGGGGAGGCGCAGGGGGGAGCGGGGCGCACGGGGGAGACGGAGGGGCCGGGACGCAATGGGGGCGCACGGGGGAGACCCGGGGGTTGGAGGAATCAGCCGTGGGGGGGGAGGTGGATTGTGATTCTCTGGAGGGGTCCCAGAGGTCACTTGATAAACTAGCGTCACCCAAAGGATCCTGGGGACGGCCTGGCGTGGGAACAGCTGGGACAGGAAACCCCGCCCGGTCTGGGGGTTATGGGGAGCAAAGAGCTGCCCACCCCCAACCGCGCCACAGGACTCGGCCTCCTGCTGTGACCAACTGGGGCCCCGGGCAGCTGCCTCTGCACCCTGCGGCCTGGCTGGGGGACTGGACTGGCTCTTCCGCAGTGGCCCTGGGTGTCAGCCCCCCGCCCCCGATCCCCCAACATGGGAGTAGTTAGGGCCAGGTTTTGGAGAGAGCCCAGCGCGCTGGGTGCCAGGCAGGGTCTGGGTGCTCGGCCCTTGGAAATCTCACCCCACATGAGGGGCGAATGCTGGGTGCTCTGGGGTCCTCTCAGTGCCATGGCACTTCGCTCCTGCTGTGGACGGTTTTCGGTAACGAAGGGGGGACCCACGAGCCCCGCACCGCTGGAGGTGCCAGGCCTGAGAGGCGGAGCAGGCAGGGTCTCCAGCCAGCGCTTTCAGTGGGGGCTTTGGGCTCCTCAGCGCCGCTCCCTGTGCCGCCTCCCAAGCTGGGCCCCGAAATCACCAGGCCCATGTGAAACCCTTGGCCGGAAAGCTCCTGCCCGCGGGCTGGCTGGGAACCGATCCCCTGCGGCGGCTCCTTGGCCTGGCTCTGAAAGCCCCAGCTCCTGCAGCCAGGTGCTCCTGGCGTCGCCCCCAGGGCCTGCGGCACCCAGTCGGGCTGGCAGGTCTCTCGTGTGTCCCTGGCTCCCCAAAGGCCCCGGATACAGGGGCAGCCTCCTCACTGGTCACCGCGGGCAGGAGTCTGGGGCCTGGTGTCCGCGCTGTCAATAGGCCCAGGGCCTATGTGCTGCCGTGTTTGCAAAGTCCCAGTGCCGTGGGAGACGGGCACTGGTCTGTCTGTGCAGCACCCAGCCCGACAGGGCCCGGCTCGGTCTGGGCAGTGCCCCGGGGCCAGGCCCGGCTCGGTGGCTCAGTCTGGGCAGCACCTGGCCGGACAGGGCCCTGATCGCGGCCGAAGCCCCTAGTGCTGCCTTGCTATAAATCTAGGACTTTCCAGTGGGTTCTGCTCAGGCCTGGGCAGAGCCGAGCTCTTGTTAACGCCAGTTCTGCAAACTCTTTGCCAGGCTGGACTGGAAAAACTTTTTAAAAGAAGTTTGAGGCAAGTTTTCCTGTGTGCCCCTCCCACCACGCGCCCCTCCCCTCCCCACCAGCTGCAGTGCTGTGGCAATAGGAAGTTTTTCCTGGCAGATGGGACCCAGCCATGTTGTTTGACTTCCTTAAAGCTGAGAGCCCCAAGTGGGTGGGTCTGGGGCCCAGCTCCTTGGACCCACGGCTGCCTGAGCCCAGCACAGAGCAGGTCCCAAGCGCTGGCCGGGCTGGGGCTGGGGCTGGCATAGGTTGCTGGTGTCACGTAGCCCCAGATTGGTTCGTTAGTGCTCCTGTTCCTGGGGCGCTGGGTGCTCTGTGTCTGCAGGGGGCATGGGCGGGGGAGGGGAGCTGGTTTTGAGGGGAATTCGGTGCCAGGCGAGGGGCGTTGGGATGAGCCAGCCGGGGCAGGGCAGAGTCGTGCGGTGTTTGCCGTGGGGCCAGGTCTCAGCGTAGGCAGAGTGGGGTATCCCTGGGGGCCGCCTGGCATTTGGGTCTGCTATCAGGGCACGTTCGAGCCGGGCCAGGAGCAATTGTGTCGCCCCTCTGCAGAGCCGAGACCCCCCCCCCGCCCCGAGCTCGGTTCACAGGGACAATTTGAATAACTGTAATTAACGCAGCAACCCTCTGGCATTGCCTACCGAGCTGGAAGTCATCGCAGTAATTGCAGCCGCGCCAGGCCTTTAATGATGATTTAATTGGGGACAATTCGGCATCCTCAGCGGGGTGGGGGTGGGGAAGGTGGCTGGACGGGACCGACGGGGACACATCCTGCCACGGCTCAGACGAGCGCGGACTCTGCACCGGGGGGCTCACGCGGCTCCGCTGCTGGGGGCAGCCTGGATCTCGGGGCCAGGAACCGCCGGATCGAGCCCTGAGCCCCAGGCCAAATCCTCAGCCAGTGCAAATCAGCGACGCGCCCTTCGGTCTGCAGTGCGCCAGCCGGGGCAGAGGGTTTAGAGGGGAGAAGCCTTTGTCCCACTGAGCTAACGCTGCTCCGGCCTGGCCTGGCGCGCTGGCCCCTGCCCTGTGGTGTCCTCTCCCTGGCCCCCTTGCCTGCCCAGCCCCTCGTCCCTGGCATACGGCGCCCGCCCGTTGCTGCTCCGAGCGCAGCCTCTCTCGTTGCCCTTGGGAGACGGCCCATCACTCCCCCTGTCGGGGTCCGGCTCCACCCGTCCGTCCATCACTGCTTCATGGTGCCATTTTCCGGCCCTCCCCCATGGCTCGTTACTCTCCATTCCCCTTAACGAGGGGGCACCACAGAGGGCAGGGCCCTGGCCTGTGAATCGGGCGTTGTCTGCTGCCCTGCACGGGGTCTGCTCCAGTTATTGGGTGGGGTGAAGGAGGCCCCATCTGGGGCGGCGCCATCTGGCCGTGACTTTGGCACGGGGCTGTGGCCATCTGGCAGCAGCCCCCTGGGGCCCCCCACACTGGGTGCTGCACCCCAGGGCGAACAGACGGCCCTGCCCCGGAGCTCATGCCCTCCCCCTCCCCACAGATCTGTATGAAGCTGTGGAGCCCTTGCTGCCCACCCTGCAGGAGCAGGGCATCGTGGTGTGGACGTTGGGCCCGGGCCCCTGCCCGCCGGGGGTCACCAGCCTGCAGGAGCTGATGGAGGAGGCATCCGAAGAGCCGGTGCCCTCAGACTTATCCACGCCCAGGGACATGACAGACACCTGCCTCTACATCTTCACCTCGGGCACCACAGGTGGGGCCCCACTGCTGCCCCCAGGCACAGGGCTCCCCCCAGGGCAGGGGCTGCGGGTCTGGAGTGAGGGGCATCCGCAGAGCTGGCCGGGGGGATGGGGGGCGTTTGGAAAGGGCCTGCCCGGCTCTCTCCGGCGCCTGCTGCCTCCACCCCTTCCCAAGCCCCGAGGTCGCGGGAGCAGGGCCCGGTTCAGGGTCCCGGGGGCTGTCTGTGCCCACTCCATGCCCCAATGCAGGGCTCCCTGCTCTGGCTTCTCCGTGTGTCGGGTGGCTGCGGGGCCTGGATGAACAAGGGGGGGCGGCAGGAGGGGGGGACTCTGCAGCTGTGGGGGGGATGGGGAGGTTTAAACGCGACATCGCTGCTCAGACTGGTTGCAGAGCAGGGCCCGAGGGGAGCGATAGCTGTGGGGCATCCCTCGGGGCGGGAAGCCAGGGCGTGGGGTGTGCCCGGCTCGGGGGGACTCACTGACCCCACTCCCCCGTGGGTTGGGCACCGGGGAGCCAGGACCCTGGGCACGGCATGATCCCCGTCTCCCCCGTTGCAGGGCTGCCCAAGGCTGCCCGCATCAGCCACCTCAAGTCCATCATGTGCCTGGGCTTCTACCGCCTGGTGGGGGCCTCCAGCAAGGACGTGATCTACGTGGCGCTGCCCCTGTACCACATGTCGGGCTCCCTGCTGGGCATCGTCGGCTGCATCGGGATCGGTGAGCTGGGCGGGAGTGGCCTGGGGGGGTCTGGGCTGCCCCCTGCTGGGGGGGGCTTGGCAACAAGGGAGAAATAATCCCACCTGACGAAGGGGGGGGGGAATATGACAGAGGTCTATACAATTGTGGCTGGGCTGGAGAAAGTGACTAGGGAAGTGTTATTTACCCCTTCACATAACACAAGAACCAGGGGTCACCCAAAGACATTAACAGGCAACGGGTTTAACACACGCACACGGAAATACTTCTTCACACAACGCACAGTCAACCTGTGGAACTCACTGCTGGGGGATGCTGTAAAGGCCAAAAGTACAACTGGGTTCAAAAAAGAACGAGACGCTCATGGAGGCAGGGCCGGCTCTGGCTTTTTTGCCGCCCTAGGCAAAAAATCCACCTGCCGCCCCCCAGCGTGGCAGGGGAGGGCACCAAGCCCGGCCGCAGGCCCACAATCCCCAACCGGCCAGAGCACCGGGGGGGAGGGCGGAGAGCCCCTGGCGGCCAGAGCGCTGGGAGGAGGGCGGAGAGCATGGCTGGGGCCCCACTGTGCTGCCGCCCCGCTCCAGGCGCCGCCCCAAGCACCTGCTTGGTGGGCTGGTGCCTGGAGCCGGCCCTGCATGGAGAACACGTCCAGTAATGGCTGTTTGCCACGATGATCAGGGATGCAACCGCCTGCTCCAGGTGTCCCTAAACCTCCAACTGCCAGAGGCTGGGACTGGATGACACGATGAGTCACTGTCCCGGAGTCCCCGGGCGATGCTCTGGAACTGCTCCCCACAAAGCCAGGCAGGACTCTGGGGAGCCTCCTCCCCCTTGGAGCAGACCGTCTTCAGGGCAAGAAGTTCACACGGCTTCACCTCCTGGGTCTCTCCTGGGAGCATTCAGCATATGCCCCTCCATGTGCTTCCCACAGCAAGTCCGTCCAGGCGGGGTCCTGTGGGGGGGGGGGCAGAGGGTCCTGCACCCCCACTTTCTAGTCAGCCGTGACTCTCAGCCAGCCAGTAAAACAGGTTTATTAGATGACAGGAACATGGTCTAAAACAAAGCTTGTTAATCCAGCGAATGGGACCCCTCGGCCAGGTCCATTCTGGGGCCCAGCGAGGCAGACCCCTGTCTCCCCTCTTCTCCAGTCCCCAGCCAGCTCCAAACTGAACCCCCCTCCAGCCCCTCCTCCTCTGGGCTTTGTCTCTTTCCTGGGCCAGGAGATCACCTGATCTCTTTGTTCACCTTTAGCTATTTCCTTGCAGGGGGGGAAGGGGCCCTGGCCATTTGTTGCCAGGGAGACAGAGTGTCCGTGTTTTTATGCGCACTGGCCTTTCCCCACCACCTAGAGACCTAAGAAATGCATAGGGGAAACTGAGGCACCCACACAGTATTCAGAGGAAACATTAAGAACAGTCCCACTTCGTCACAGTCACTCAAAACGTGGCCTGTCTCTTCGTCCCTCTGAAGCGCCTGGCACCGGCCACTGGCGGAAGACAGAGTTCTGGGCGTATGACGAAGTCTGGCCGCTCAGAGGTTCTTAAGCTTT